GTGGATGGCTTTAACAAAGAGAAGTTTATTCTCTCACAGTCCAATAGGCTACAAGTCCAAATTCAGAGCATCAGCTCCAGGGAAAGGCTTTCTTGGTCAGCTCTGGAGGAAGGTCCGTGTCAATCTTCCATTGGTCTAGGAGCTTCTCTGCTCAGGAACCTCAGGTTCAAAGGATGCGCTCTGCTCCCAGCACTGTTTTCTTGGTGGTATGAGGTTCCCATGTCTCTGCTCTTTTTATCTCTTATAAAATAAAAGGTGGTGTAGGCCACACCCCAGGAAAACTCCCTTTACATTGGATCAGGGTTGTGACCTTAGTAAGGGTGTTACAATCCACCTTAATCCTCTTTAACATCACAAAATGGAAGACAACCACACAACACTGGGAATCATGGCCCAACCAAGTTGACATATATTTTGGGGGGACACAATTCAATCCATGACAACAACTGACAGACGGGTGGTGGAGTCACCCACATAAACTCCATTATCTCAAAGGCTCTTTCCAGCTCTAATAAAACCTGTCACTTCTAGGTGCAAATTAGTATTTATTTTATTTATTTACATAACCAATACTTCGATTGCACTTGCTATGAGCCAGGTGAGGATCCCTGGTGGTGCAGTGGTTAAAGTGCTTGGCTGTTAAGTCAAAGGTTGGCGGTTCAAACCCACCAGCCGCTGCATGGGAGAAAGATGTGGCCGTCTGCTTCCATAAACATTTACAGCCTTGGAAACCCTGTGGAGCAGTTCTACTCTGCCCTACAGGGTCGCTGAGTTGGAATTGACTCAACGACAGTGGGTTTTTGGGAATGAGCCAGGTACCAATCTAAGTACTTCCATCAATATTAACTTATTTAATCCTCATAAAAACCCTGTGAGGTAATACTATGAGCATCTCCATTTTACTAAGAAAGCGAGGCACAAAGAGGTTAAGAAACATGCCCAAGGTTACACAGCTAGCAAGTGGTTGAGCCAGGATTTGAAGCAACAATGTTTACAGTCATAGACCAGAGCAGAATTCCTGTCCCCAAGGACCTCAATGAGTCCAGTGCTCAAAAACAAGGGGGGGCTGCAGCAGTTCCACTCCTGGTACCTACCCAAGAGGAATGAAAATATGCATCCACACAAAAGCTTATATGTGAATGTTCATAGCAGATTATTCACAAGAGCCCCAAAGTGGAAATAACCCAAATGTCCATTAACTAGTAAATGGATAAACCACTTGTCGTATACCCGTACAGTTGGACTCTATTCAGCAACAAAATGGAACAGACTATTGATATCTGCTAATCAACCAACTAGTTGCTGTTGAGTCGATTCCAACTCACAGTGACCCCATGTTTGTCAGAGTAGAACTCTGCTCCATAGGGTTTTCAATGGCTGATTTTTTGGAAGTAGATCATCAGGCCTTTTTTCTGAGGCACCTCTGGGTGGACTCAAACCTCTAACTTTTTGGTGAGCAGCCAAGCACACCGACCATCTGTACCACCCTGGGACTCCTACGGATACTTGCTACGAGATGCATAAGCCTCAAAAGTATCATGCTGAATGACAGATGCTAGATGCCAAAGACCACATGTTGTATCATTCCATTTCCATGAAATCTATAGAATCAGAGAGGAGACGAATGGTTGCCTAGGGTGGGAACGGGGATTGCTGGCAAGGGGCACAGGGATCTCTTTGGTGTCATGGGAATGTTTAGAAACTAGATGTGGTGATGCCAGCGCAACTCATTCAATTTACTGAAAACCGTTGAATTGTACACTTAAAACGAGTGCATTTTATGACATGTAAATTATAGCTCCCACCACCGTCTGTCAGTTTGTTGTACTGTGGTGGCTTGCATGTTGCTGAGATGCTGGAAACTATGCCACCAGTATTTCAAATACCAGCTGGGTCACCCACAATGGACAGGTTTCAACAGAGCTTCCAGACTGACAGACAAAGAAGAAAGGTCTGGTGATCTACCTTTAGAAACTCAGCCAATGAAAACCTTACGGGTCATAACAGAACACTGTCCAACCTGCTTGCATTGGACATGTCATCAGGAGGATCAATCGCTGGAAGAAGATGTCATGTTTGGTGATGTAGAGGGTCCTTGGTGAGATGAACTAGCACAACAGCCCCAACAATGGACTTGTACATGCCAGTGACCCTGAGGATGGCACAAGACTAGGCAACATTTCGTTCTGTCGTACGTAACGTTGCCCTGAGTCAGAGGGGACTCGATGGCAGCTATCTATCTATCTAAATTGTAGGTCAATAAAGCTGCTTTTTAAAAAAAAAAAAAAAAAGAAAGAAAACCCTGGAAAGCATGGCCCCTGGATTCTCTATCAGCCCAGAACTAAAACAATTTCCAAGGCCAACTCTTCAGACAGGGACATAAAGGGATACTCGTGAGGAGTGTGCCTCTTAGCTCAAGTAGATAAAAGAGACTAAACAGGCAGCTCCTGTTCGGAGGTGGGATGGGAAGGCAGAGAGGATCAGGAGCTGGTTGAATGGACATGGGGAATCAGGGGTGGAAAGTTGGAGTGTGCTGTCACAGTATGGAGAGAGCAATTAGGGTCACATAACAATGTATGTATAAATTTTTGTATGGGGGGAAAACAAGCAAGGGGGCTGGCCCTGGTTATTCTAGTTAGTTTACACCAACGGTGAACAAAGAGGTGGGGTGGTGGGCTCAAGGCCAAGAAGCTGCCAAAGCCTCTACCTCTCCTCCCAGCTGTGAAAGTCTCCGTTGCTTTTCGGGAAAGCACCATCAGACCCACGTGATGTGAGGTCCGCCCCAACCAGCTGAGATGTCCTTACAGAACCGCTCTCTGTTTTACAAACAGTAATTACATGCACGGGAATTTTCTAACCAAAATGAGACCCTTCTTTATGATCCCCCAAACACCCCCTGCATTATTTTGCAATTCAAAATCCATGCCTCCTCAAGCCAATTACTTGGGGAGATGTGATATGCAATAATGAATTATACATGCGTTATCTTTGTGAATTTTTTCTTCTCCTCAGGGATGCTAATTATGAGATAAATTGTTGGGGGTTTTATGTCTGGAAGTAACTTCTTGTCATATCAGAGCCCTTCTTGCTACTCATTGCAAAGCTAATTGGTGGTATTCAAAGGGGAAGACATAACTCATTTTCAATTACAGCAGTCAAATGCTCAAGGAAAAAATGTGCCATACATACATATGTATTCATATATACGTATTAATGTGTGTGTGTGTGTGTGTGTGTGTATACCCACAACAAAGAATGAAAATTCGACACACTCTTTCCATAGGAGATTCTGATGGAATCCTTGGTGTAGTATTCTCCCATTGTGAGATGCATGTACCTTCTCTTGCATTACAACTGAGAGATCACTTTCAATGTATACAAATTCCCTTTAGAAAAAGGAATACATCTATGGTGGGCATCCACTGTGGCCAAGAAACAACAATTCTCTTGATGAAGAAAAGTCTTTCAAAGCCGAGCCATTATTCCCCAAGAGTAAAGTCAAAGCTGCCCACTCCACAGCTTGGGCGACTACAAGGAAAGAGGACAGGCATCGGTCTTTTTATAGCTTCTTTCACAGCTATAATGTTATAGATGCAGTTTTGGAATTCTATCGAGCCAGACCTTTGTGATCCTTATGCTACTCCTCATTGTTAGCTTCTGCTGAGTTGACCCCGACTCATGGTGACCCCGTGCCAAATGGAACAAAATGCTACCAGGTTCTGTGCCATCCCCATGATCTGTTGCAGACTGTATCGTTGTGATCCATCAGGTTTTCACTGACTGATTTTCAGAAGTAGGTTCCATTGCCATAGAATTCAATTCCGACTCATGGCGACCCATTGTGTTATAGAGTAGAATAGCTCCATAGTGTTTTCTTGGCTGCAGTCTTTACAAAAATAGATCACCAGGCCTTTCTTCAGTGGCACCACTGGGTGGGTTCGAACCACCAACCCTTAGGTTAGCAGCCGATCGCAAATCTGCTTGTACCACCCAAGCAAATTTCATGTTACTCCTTCACACACACACACACACACACACACACACACACACACACACACA